GTACCAACTGTTTCTGTTTGATATTTATGACGCAACCAAACAATGAAATGGGCTGGGGTATCAATATTATTACCAGCGTGTTGAGCGGGTATATTTGTATATTTTCCAGCTATCTTACTTTTTAAAATATCTGCTCGAAGCGGATTATCAAAGGCGGCTGACATAATTGATGGTAAAGTTAATATTTGATTAATTCTTTGATACCATTCATCTGGTGGAATTTGTCCACTATAATTTGGAATCTCTGCAATTAATGGTACAATACTGGTTAAGTCTCCTGCAACTATAGCCATATTTGGTGAATTATTATGTAACAATAAAATTTGTGCTTGTAAATTATTTATTAATTGTTCAAAATTTCGAGCACGATTTTTCCACTTACCCCACTTATTGTCTAGTTGAACATCGGCAAGTAATAAATCATTTTCTAGAGTCTTGCATTTATTTTTTCATTTGCTATATCGATTTTTTGTAAGATTTAAGAGATGCGTAGTGATTGCTTCATCTGTCTTATATTCTTGTAGTTGCTGTTGTGTTCATCTATTCTTAAATCCCAATGCAAATTTTTCTAGAAGCAATTTTGATATTTGTCATTTTTGCATACGGATTGTAATTCGACCATCAAGTTCTCGAGATTTAAATATATTGTGTTGTGTTCTGTGAGCTTCATAGGCCTGATGGAGAAGATCGTAGTTATTTTGAAGTGTAGCTAACTGGATTTGTGAATTAGTTAACTGGGTCTGCAAATCTGCTACTTGATTTTCTGCATAAATTGCGCGAGCATTTGCCTGCGGATATATATCTAGTACCAATCTTTAAACCTATTGCTGGCATCTAAAATTATATTAAGATAATCTACAATACTATTTATTGTAGGTGCTATTGTAACTAGGCTTTGAAAATACTGTCTAATATTATTAATATCTCGCTGAATTCTATTATTTTGGATCGTGGCTTGATTTTTAGGTAGAGATAATCTAGATGATCCTGGTTGTTGTGCCATCTCTATAGTATCATTGGAATTTTTATACAAAATAAGTATTTTTTCATTAAGTTTTTCGATTTTATCCTGAAAAATTACTAACCTTTGTTCTAAATAATCAACATAATTCTCTCGGCTTTTAGAATCTTGAAGTGCCTTTTCTAACTGTTCTTTGAGATTAGAAATTTCTTGTCGCAATAGATCCAAATCCCCATCTCGAATCAAAATTTCTTTTTTGAGATATTAATATAATCTTCTTTTAAGGCTAGATCCTGTTGTAATTTACAAAATCGATTTTTTATTATCTGCAAACTATCTTCAGCTTGAGCTAGTCTATTTGTACTAATTTCTGGTATCATTGTAGTATTTTATAACATAATAAACAAGAATCGAAAAATTAGTCTTTTGTATATGAGTGAACCTACTATTATTATAGACC